TAGAAGAGCAACAGATCCAATCTGGTCTCTAAAAGTTTTCAATATCGAAAAAGCACTTGTGAATGAAAAAGAACCTGTTCTTTACTATCTGAAAGATGGACCAAAGCGGGGATTTGTCAGAGAAGAGCTTCAGACTGTTCCACCTAGAACTGAGCTACTTCCTGAAGGAATTCGATGAGGAGAATGCTTCATAACCCTCTTTGTGTTTTTTCTGAGATATTGTCATTAGTTTTTTCTGATGGTTCAAACGAATTTTGAGATTGTCTTGAGAATCAAATCTCAAAATTCTTCAATTTTGCTTTGATTTTTTTAAAGAAACTGCGCCAATCTTTTTGCCTTAAAATCATCGTTGTTTTTTTTTAAATGAGCAAAACTGCCCTGTTTTTCAGGCAATTGTGCCAGAAACCCACTGAATCAAATCTTCAATTTTGCTTTTATTTTTTTGAAAGAAACTGCGCCAATCATTTTGCCTCAAAAACATCGTTCTTTTTTTTTAAATGAGATAAAAAATGAAAAAAGTCAGTTTTCAAAACTGCCCTGTTTTTCAGGGTATTTTGAAATGTGCCAGAAACCCCCTTTCCCTACTACTTGAGTAGTTAGCAAGGGAACAGCGTAAAAAGATCAAATAACAACAAAGATGGCTGGCCCGACCGTCCTCGTTTTGATGTTTTTTGAATAAATTAGAACCATTACCTCACGGACATTTTGGGTATTGCATAGGGTGCGTTGTTCCACCAAATCCGTCCGTTGAAAACTGTGAACATGATGTATAAAGTAAAAGCGTTTTGTGGAACGATCTCCCCGGTTATTGAGACTTGCATAGAACGATTTCGTCACAACATGTATGAATATTAAAGATCCAATTTTAGAACTAAAATAACGAACAAAAACAAGGCGTGCTATTGGGTTGAAAAGCACTGTGGAATGAAAACTTTCAGGAACGATAGAACTCTTAAGTCTACTAGACAAAACGACACGACATTTTGGCGTTTGCACAACAAAAATAGATCAAACTTTCTGCAGTTGCAAGTTTTCCTATTGGCTAATGAATATGTAATAATGTTCTGGAATTCTGACAAATATGCGACAAATTTTAATGAGGCGCGGCCATGTCAGCTACGTCACCTTTGTATCATTTGGCGGTGGAATGTGGCTTTGTTTCAACGCTGGTAGGTTAGGGTTATGAGAAGAGGAATTTTCAACATTTCATGGCCTTAAGTACTCTGATAGAAAGGCATTCTTTGAAGTAAGAACGTTGAATGCTTTGCGATTGGCCTTTTAATTCACTGGAAAGGGATCCTGAAGGTTTATGAATAAAGGTGCGTGAACTGACTTCGACAGCTGAAAACAATGTTTGTGATAACGACCAAGGAGTTTGTTCTTAGTAGTCAGTGTACCAGACAACGATGTTAACAGAAATTATTAAGTCTATAAATCTTTGATGTCGCCCGTCAGATTTTTATTCTTGTCTTGTATCTTGTTCAGGTTTTAACAGCGCATCAAGGATTTCTATGTTGAAGGAGTTGTGGGACATTTTTTATTTGACATGACCGCTCCGGTAGGTATTCCTAATATGTCATGTTTTTAGAATCTACCTCCTGGAGTTTGGAGCAAATAATTATATCAAAGTAATTTTAATGTTCGAAGTTAGTGAGAACATGAAGTAGTACTGAAATACGCTCGCTTGGTACCTGATCTCGTTTAAAATGGTAACAATCTCGGAGTGATTGTTTGTATTTTCTGTACTTATGTACGTGTTGCGATAAAATTTTTAGTAATGGAATTAGGAAAAAGGTGAGAAAACGTGTTTTAAGAAGTGAAACTCGAGTGTTTTTCGTAGATTAGACATCTAACCTGCTAGTGTACTTTAAAACCGTACTCCTTAGGTGGTACGATATGGACTCAGTGATTAACTTGTTAAGGAATGTTTAATTTGTAAGTCTAAGATGTATCAGAGGACAATCATTTTTAAATTAAAGTAGACGAATCAAAACTTAAATGTAATTAAACGTGTTCAAAGTTTTACGCATCATCCATAGAAAACCTTGAACTTTCGAAACAAACGTTTGAACGCACGTGTATAAACATTTGAATTTGGCTTTACCTGGATGTCCCATAGCTTTATGGCACACTAGTTTTGAGTATTTGTTATTATATCAACACAATACAGTGTAGTTGAAGAATTTTATGTGTTCCCATCGTCATATTATTAACACATCAGTTCTGTGAGACAAAGAATTTAAGTGACCTGATAAATTTACTTTACCATCCTTATGGTACATAATTATTTGCATTTCTTAAGAAAACTATTACTTGGGCAATAAACTACACTTACTATTGATTTACAAGTGGATAAACCAGGCTGCACCTCGTGGTTATAAAAATCCCAAGTGGCTTTTATGTCGCTAAACTGACAGAAAGTGTGGTTTATTGCTTTTATGATTTAAATATTAGTGAATTTTTTCAGAGAGAATGATAAATTTAATTGTATTTTGGAGTAAAGTTGCTGATTCTCATATGAAACTCATCCAAAAGTGTGTGTAAAACTATTTGAAGTGCTGTAAACTGAATGAATTGCTAGACAACAGCACTGAGCATGTGCAGTGATCCAAATGCTTTCCAGCAATTTTGTTTACATACGATACACTTTTTCCCTTAATTTAACCCTTCAACTCCCACAGAATATCTCATTTCAATATTAATACTAGCTATATCAAGCAGGCAAGTAATGAGTAATATAAGCAAAAATATCAACTAGGGCATTATAAGTTGATCCAATACTAAATTCTCCAAAGGAAAATTACAAGAATTGTGTAGCAGACAGCAAAGAGAATTGTATAATGAGATCTTGGGAGTGAAAGGGTCAGAAGCAAATTTGTTCCTTTGCCTCAGCTTAATTGAAGCATTCAATGTGTCCTTGTTAAAATTTACAGATAGCGCTTAAGAAGCTTAAAGTAGGCAAAAGCTATCAAAGAGAAGCTGAAATCAAAGACAGCAAATGGAATTGCCTTAAGAGTGCACATTTGCTTTGCAAGTAGATTTTGTCCTCTTGTAAATAATATTTTCAGTAAATACCCAAATGAAAATCCAGTTACTTTGTCACTACTGTTTCCTTGAAGCATGCAATAACATGTTAATTTTTTTCTCGGAAAGTCTAAGGGTTAGTTTTTAGGGTTTGTGATTAAAAGGTCTGAGTTTAAGCTTTTTTTGGTTCTTTTCTTTGTTTTTTCTAGTAATTCTTGGTTTTGCATGTGATGTAATAAAAATTAAAAAGTAAGGAATTATTACTCCTTTTGAGATTTTAGCTTAGTTATTAGAACTGCTGAATACTTATCTTTTTACAAATTTTCAGTTTGATAGGGTTTTTTTTCTTGTGATATTTTTAGCAAGGTTGAATTACTAAGCTTTTGTGTGACAAGATATTAAAATGGGTAAAAAGTGACTTATAAACTGATATTACTTAATCTAAACAGTCCTTGTATGAGAATAAGTACTCATATAGATGTTTGTGAGCCTGCAGAAGATGACTACTGGCTTTTTATAGCAAAACTCATTGACATATGTTTTTGGTAGCTTGCGGCCACCATATTTGTGCCCCTCAGAGGGACATAAACATAGTCTTGTATATGTGCAAGGCGGTTGCCAAGCAAAAGGTAATTATATTTCAAGGTTTTGTATTTGGTGCGTTTATATGGGGTGTCACAAAAGCTAAGACCCTCTAAAACTAAGACCTAAGACCCATCTTAGTTTTTGAGATTATGAAAACTAATACCCCTAAAATTGAATCCGTCGAAATATTAAGTCAATTTGTAACCAAAACAGATCTAATCTGTCAAATTATCTCCTGTCCCATCTTTTCCATGGTGTTTTAGGTCGAATTTAATGGAAAATTTAGGGCTCTTAGTTTTCGTAATTTTGAAAACTAAGACCCCTGGTAGTTTTTGTAATTACAAAAACTAGGACCCCCATCAAACCTTTCTTTAAAATTTCTACAAAGTTGAATTACGACCGTTTGAAGACTATAATCTGTTAAACAACCAAAAACTTCTATCATACTTGATGATCAGGAGTGCAAACGACTCAAAATGCGAGTTTCTGTGCCAAAACCGATGGCTTGCGCATAGGTTATTCAGCTCTGTCACAGGTAACACAATCTCGCTCGCATAAACATGAAGAGAAACATCCATCTCCAATGGAAAGCCAATTTTATTATTTAAAGGATAAACAGAAAAATTAAAGACCAATACGGGTAAGGCATATTTTCAGTGTACAATTATACATAGTTAGTGTATGGCTTTCATCCTCTTTATAAAGCCGCTCTGCTTATAATATATGTCTGCAAATTGTTAGTGGAACCGGATCGTCTAGCACGCATATATATGATAGTAGCTAGTTTTAGGTTGTTTTATCAGGGCTTAACACTAACTTTTCAACTTACTAGCCAAGTGGCTAGTGACATCTTAGATGTTTTTAGATGTTACAACAATTTCAGTTTGTTTACTTGCCAAACTGGCCAGTGGAAATTGAAAACCACTAGCAAAAACTGAATTTCTAACAGTCTGTGGCTAGTGGGCTACCGTTAGTGTTGAGCTCTGTTTTATGGATTATAGTCTTTGAACTGTCGTAATTCAACTTGGTAGAAATTTTAAAGAATGGTTTGGTGGGGGCTTAGTTTTTGTAATTACAAAAACTAAGAGGGGTCTTAGTTTTTGAAATTTTGAAAACTAAGACCCCTAAGTTTACTGTTAAATTTGACCTAAGCCTTGGTGGAAAGGATCGAACAGGAGATAATTTGACAGATTAGACCTGTTTCGGTTACAATTTGACTTTATATTTCAACAGATTCGATTTTAGGGGACCTAAGTTTTTGTAATCTCAAAAACTAAGACAGGTCTTAGGTTCAAGGTCTTGGGTTTTGAGGGTCTTAGTTTTCATAACACCCCATTTATATGGTAGATGCAAGACCGGTTGATAATAATAATAATAATAATAATAATAATAATAATGATAATAATAATAATAATAATAATGAATGCGCATAACAATTATAGAATATAAAAATTGTATCAGATAATAAATTTACAAAACTAATAAAAACCTTATCTAAATTGTAAAAAACTATTAAACCATGCACAATTCAATCCTAATTAAAGGCTAAATTAAAAAGGTGAGTCTTAAGTAAAATTTTAAATTTACTAAAATCAGTCTCGTTATGCACTTTATAAGGAAGACTGTTCCAAAGTTTAGGTGCTACACACATATAAGCACAATCACCTAATGTTTTCTTTGTTATGGCATTTGGTGCTTAATTGCAGCATGAGACCCTTATTACTAGATCTTAAGTTGTATGGTCCATTCTGCTGCAACTTAACAAAATCTTGTAAAAAGGTTGGACCATGTCCATTAATTAATTGCTTTGAAAGTGATAATGATAAATTTGAACTGTATTCTAAACTGAACAAGTAACCAAATGCAGTTCTCATAGAACTGGTGTGATGTGACACGTCTTTGGGATATTAAAAATAATCCTTGCTGCCTAATTTTGTAGGCATTGGAGCTTAGGTAATTCTCTATCTGGTAAACCATATAAAATACTATTACAGTAATCTATCCGTCCGATTACTAACATGTATCAATGTTTGTGATGCTTTCTCATCTAAGTATTTCCTAATGCGTCGTACATTTGTCAGATGATAATAAGCAGCTTTGCAGGTATTGTTAACATTGATCTTCAGATTAAGATTAGTCTATCCATGTGCCAAGGTTCTTTGTTGAGGATGCTTTATTTAGGTGTTGAAATTGGCAACAAAAAGGGTATATGTTGTCATTGTTTTTTTTTTTCTTAATTCATACTGAAACTTAACAATTAGGACTCTAAAATGCCTTACATTACTTAAGAGTATTTGAAGAATTAGTGCAAAGGCAATGCACAAATGTAAAAGAAAGGGCTGCAGCTGCTAAGAGCCACTGGAAAACTGACTAAGTCTTTCAAAAATAGCAGATATAGATACAGAATTTATTTACATCAGGAAACTAAATGTAGCTGCACAAAAATAATGGTATTAAGTATTTATGCATGCCCCATTTAAGCATACTTTGGCAAATTACAAGTTAACATCAAGGAACTCAAATGTCATATGTAAAACCTTTATCTGTAATGTCATGTAGACTAGATAAAGGGGTTAATGTGGTTTTAAACCAGCAAACCTTTTCTTCATGCAAATTATGTATTTTATATACCAAAACTTGTTTTTAATAAAACATCAGTTATCAGTGAGGAAGCCATTTTAGTTCGCTGCTGTCCATAACAATATTTTGACCAATCAGTTACCATAAATTTCTGCTTCCAGTATATACCAAAAATGTACCATTCTTGACAGTGGAAAGAGGCAGCTTCATTTAATTTTATAAAATAAATCAAGAGATCTCTTTTTTATTAGGCTCTAAAATTTGTGGACATCACACATTCATTTAAATTTTTTTTTCGTTTTTGATGTATTTTATTTTTATGCGCTCTATTGATAGCAGTTATCATTTTTCATAGGCATTACTGGCTAAGGCTCTTTTTGACAACCTTGCCGATGCACCTGATGAATTAAGTTTTAGGAAAGGTGACATTATTACTGTGCTGGAACAAGATGTGGATGGCTTGGTGGGCTGGTGGCTTTGTTCATTACATGGAAAACAGGGAATTGCTCCTGGAAACCGTCTACAGGAAATCAAACGGCGATTAGAAGAGCAAAATTCACCTGTATCACCAAAGCTTGGTGAACATTTTACATTTGAAGAGATAGATTATGATGTACCAAAGTCTTGTGAGCCTCTAGAGGATTATGCTGTACCACGGGGACTAACAAGTCCTGATTATGATGTACCAAATTCAAATAAACTGGATGGACATGGACAATCCACAGCTGAACAGATTTGGAACTTAGAACATCACTTTAATAATCTTCCTGGTAGTAGTTCATTTTACAGTGAAACCAATAAGACATCAGGAACTGAAAAATTAAGTGATGATGTGTATGATGTACCCTCGGGGCTTGTTGAAGACAACTTTCCTCAAGATGTTTATGATGTTCCTCACCATGCACTGAACAGAGAAGAGACTGGTGTAGATAACTTAACACAACTTGATAACTATTCAGAAAGTGGTAATGTCCTTGATCCAGGCATTTCAAGAGAAAATTTTAGGATTGAATGTCCCTCACATGCTCCTGAAGAACCTGATATATATGCAGAAATATATGATGTTCCTCCAGCAACTGATCATGAAAAGACACCTGACAGACTGGTGAATGGAGCAGGTACTTCTCCTAGTGAAAGTACACATTCCATTCCCCAAGAAAACAACATCAGTGCAGAGTTAACCAGCTGTGTAACTTATTTGTTGTCTGGTGTCAGTGGTGACAGCAATCGTCAATCAACATCTAGCTCAGACAGTGCAAAGATAAGCTCAGATGATGACTATGTTGATTATCAAGAGATTTATGGAGATGGTAGAGTGAAAGATGTCAGTATATATGATGTCCCTGTTCAGGTAAGTCATTTTTTTTTTTCATGACTTTATAAAAACTACCTAAAGTGGAGCTATTTACGACAAGTTGTCACAGATTACAATCAAGACGAATATATTTGGTATTGTCATGTTGACTCTCGCTGTATTCATTGCAAACTAAAAGAAAGACAGTCATCATTACGCGGCCTTGCTCTTTCATAGACTGATCAAATTTAGTTTTGATTCAAGTAAAAGTACAAATTACAGAGTATACTTGGAAATATTACTACATACATCATACATTTATTCAAAGCATTTGAAAACAAAGATAAATGTACAAAGAAAGCTTTAAAAAGGGAGTTTAGAAGGTTGGCCCTATGTAAAAAACTCCCAAAAGAAAAAATTAAAAAATATTGTAATATTAAGATTCTAGTACTACGAAATATTTAAAAATGAACCTAAAGAATGCTTAAAACATGCAAGATTTCCTGCCCCTACAACCTACTCAGGTAAATTGTTCCATTCTTTTACAATTCTCACAAAAAATGAATATTTGTAACAGTTACAACTAGATGGTTGAAACCTCAGCTTGTAATTATGATTACTTCTTGTTCGATTTGATGCTAACTGGAAAAAGTCTTGGAATTCAAGATTACCGAGAGAAAATATACATTTATAACATTCGATCAGAGAAAAATACAGTTTTCGATTCTTTAATGGTGACTACTTTAAAATGGAGCAACGTTCCTTGTAGTCCATTTTGCCTCTCTTTTGGCCAAGAGCCAGTCTTGGCGCTCTTCTCTGGACTTTTTCCACCAAAACAATGTCTTTTACCAGAAAGGGACACCACACTGAAACAGTCTCTGCTAGTATCGGCTTTACTAAAGATTTGTATAGCAAAGAGAATTCATTTGCGCTATTATAGACCCAGGCACGCTCTTAATTACCCCAAGGACTTTGTTGGCTTTGTTGACCACCTCATGAATATGATCACTCCATGATAGATCGAACGATATTGTAATACTGAGATCTTGGATATTTTTCACACTCTTTAGAATTTCACCATTTGGATCAAGTGTATAGCTCCCTTTCGACTTATCTTGTTTTTGCGTTATTCTCATTGTTTCACATTTATCAGGATTAAATTTCAACTGCCAGGCTTTACACCATTCAGTGAGTCAAAACAAGTCAGATTGTAGCACATGCATATCCTCAGGAATGTTCACTATCTCCCTATAGAGTTTAGTGTCGTCTGCATACAATTTCACAGTGGAAGAAACTCCAGTTGATATATCATTGACGTACATTATGAACAAGATGGGCCCTAAAACTGTTCCCTGAGGTACACCTGATTTTACCTGAGTCCATGACGAATAGCTGCCGCGCAAAACAACACATTGTGACTGACCAATTAAAAAGCTTTGAAACCAATTGAGAATAGGGCTATCAATACCGTGTCGTTCTAGTTTATGAAGCAGGTGTCTGTGTGGAACACTGTCAAATGCTTTAGAGAAGTCTAACAGAATTGCGTCCGTAGGATTTCTCTTGTTACCAGATTTTTCCCAGTCGTTAAGACAGGATAACAGCTGTGTAACCGTAGAACGACCTTTCATGTACGCAAATTGATTCAGGTTGAAAATATTGGCTTCACCCCAAAACTCCATAGTACGGCATTTTACTATTTGTTCTGCTAGTTTACACACGATCGATGTTAGTGAAATCTGACAGTAGTTTTCTGCAGTTTTTACTGCCCTTTTTGAACAAAGGTGTTATATTGGCACATTTCCACTTGCTAGGTAATTGGCCAACAGCGAAGGACTTATTGATTAATGCACATATAGATGGAGAGAGAGCCAATGCACATTCCCTCAAGATGCGCGGCGACAAGCCGTCAGGCCCAGGGGACTTGTAAGCATTTAAATTCTTCAACAGCTTTTCAATCTCATCAACAGAACAATAGATATTAGAGAGCTTAGAGGTGACAACATAATCAAAATTGGGAACGTTATCACAATCTTCAGATGTAAACACCAACAAATAAAATTGATTCATACTTTGGGCAATGCAGAGGTCGTCTGTCACGGTTACTCCATCAACAAGAAGGGAGACCAAATTATTAGTCCCCTTACGCACAGATTTAATGAAACTCCAGAACAGTTTAGGATTGTTGTTTAATACCTTTAACTCCTCGGCCAAGTTCTTAATATAACTCTGCCTGGCCGAGTTGTATGCTTTTTTGACAGAGTTATTTAAGTTCCGATATTTAATCCAGATCTGTTCCTTTCCTGACCTTTTGGCTTTCCTAGACAGCAATTTCTTTTTGCGACAAGACTAATGAGATCCTTGGTATTCCAGGGAGCATTTACCTTTTTGCTAGACTTTTGCTTGGGGACACATTGGTCAACTGCGGCAAAAAATAAGTCCATCCATGCTTGTCAATTAAGATCTAAACAGTTGTCAAAGTAGAAAACATCTCAAGGTGTATAAGAAAACAAAGATCCAAGATGATCCCAGTCGGCTTTTCTAAACGCATAGTTTGGCTTGTGAGACTTGCATGGAAGTACAGGAGACATTAATTTTCATGGAAAAAAGTTATTAAATTATGGTCAGAGAAAGGTTCGCCAACTATTAAATCTTGTACCTACAGTACATTTTTAATCTTATCCATTTTTAATCTTATGCTCTCATTTGTTTTTTTTTTTTTCTTTTTTCAGCCAATTGCACTGGAGCAGGGCAGTGGACTCCCTACTACAAAAAGAACACAAGTAAGCATTCTACAGCGTATAAATATGAATGCTGTCAAGGGACTAAAGCTGAATATACCAGATGCATTGCAGCGTTTGACAAAACTTGAACAAGCTGTTAATGGTGCAGTTAACAAATTGTTGAGCTTTGTCACAGTTACATGGCGGAACCCAGATGTTCTAAAGCCTCATCTTGCAGACATCAGAGATATTGCTGGGAAGGCAAAGGTGGCTTTGAGATTATTAACAGAATTTGCTCTCAGCTCATTGGTCAATGCAAGAAATCTCCCAAACCATCAGGAACTCAGTGGTAAGCTGAGCAGAGCAGTTGAGCCGTTGTTGGAAACATATTACTCAGTCAAACTGGCACTGCAAAGACTTGATGAAAATGGTTGGAGTGTTGCTTTGGAAAAGAGTATCAAAACACATGATGACCTTGATCTGATTATGGTGCACATCCGCTCTGTTCCTGAGAATTCACAAAACTTGGCTGCTGTTATTCGTACAGCTGCAACTGTACTTTACAGCAAACCAAGCAAAAAAAGTCAAGGAGAAGTTTCCATGTCATATCGATGGAAACATGGTAATGACTCACATATGCATAGAGTAGAGCAAAACAAAATCTCAGAGGCAGAGTCAGATCAATCAGAACTGGAGAAGCGAACACTGATCACAAGTGTAATAAAAAACACTGTTGATGCAAATTTCAAGCTTGCAGCTAATGGAGCAAAGTGGAGTCCTACCACAGTTCGGCGTGTTTGTGGAATGGACACTCCTAAAAGGAACAGTAATAGCAGTGAGGAAGAAAGCACAGCACCAAAGCTTCCAGTGCGCTTGCATTCCTTTAAAGGCAGAGGCAGAGACTCCAGTTCAGGAGAAGATGCAAAATCCCCCCCACCACCTCCACAGAGAAAGGACAGCAATGAAAAGTGCCAGCATCTTAGGCAGAAAAGTTTAGATAAATTTCCTCTTGAAGCAACTACAATGGAAACATTGGGGCCGCCTCCCAAACCAAAATTGGACAGAAAAAATACATCAAGAAAAAGTTATAAGATTCCTTTGTACTCTGATCGCAATAAGGGAAACATAAACTGGAGAGAGCACAAGACATCTGAAACAGAACCAGCCACACCTCGCCGGAAGTGTAATTCAGATCCAACACAGCTACAAGATCACAATGATATGAAGGAAGAACAAGATTCATTAGAAAAAAACAATTTTGCTCACAGCTTGCTCAAGCAGAGCTTAGTGCATATCTCTGATTCTGATTTACCCCAGAGTTTGAAAGGTGCTAGTGATGGCCACTCATCAACTCTTCCACTTCAAGATAAAAGAAAATTATTCTTTGATTTTACCAATGTTGCACCTAGGCCAGTACATCAACATCCCTTTTCAAACTTGATAAAAGACAATGGTGCCACAAAGGGATTTATGGTGTCTTTGAATGATCGTGAGCTTCTAGAATTCTACAAGTACGAGATAGATGCCCAATTATTTGTGCTTAGTGAGGCTATGAAAGGATTTTTTGCTGTTGTTGACAAGAATGAGAGTCCAAAGGTGTTTGTGTCCAGTAGTAAATTTATTGTGTTGAGTGCCCACAAGTTTGTGTACATTGGTGATACTTTGAGCAAGAGGATCAAACAAGTTGATCTTAGGAGTGAAATAATAGGTGTGACTAACAAACTGTCCAACTGCATCAAGAGTTTAGTGGGTGCAACAAAGTCAGCAGCATTGCAGTACCCTGCATCAAATGCTATGCGGGAGATGAGTGAAACTGTTGTCCAAGTAAACAATGCTGCGATTGAGTTGTACCAGGTAGTAAAAAAAACAACAAAGAATGGCTAGAACAGGAATATTCCTAAGTATGGTCATAGGAGTCATATTTCAGAAGATCAAGATGAGTGTGTTACAAAGTGAATCATGTACTTGTAATTTATGGTGTCTTGGTTGCTTGAAATTAACATCTCATGGCCATTTTGCCTTGGATGTGAAGAATGTTTTTCATCTCCTCTCCTTATGATAATGATTGCTGTAATGAATTTTTCAATTTTTTTAGGAAATATTGACATAATTGAATGAAGAGGTCAGAAAGTGACATTTTTTTCAAAGTAAGCCATTTAGAGCATCAAGTGAAGGGTAACTAGACAAGAATGTACGACTCATGAATTTCATTTTTCTCTCTTTCAACAAATGTGATGGAGAGCTAACCCAAATGCCTTTAATTCTCAATTACTCTCTATATTAAAGTTTTATTTTCAGCAGAGTGCTTACTCAGATAATTGATATTTATATTTTAAGCATGACCATCTGGTGAAAACAATAATCAATCTTTAATCAGCACATGATGCAATCAAATTTTAAAGGAAGTGGTTATATACCTCTGTTTCAAAATTTAAGTATTTTATAACATGTTGATAGTGGCTTGATTATAGAAAGTATTATTAAGGAGCAACGTACTTCTCATGTCATGTGACTAGTAGAGAACTATGTAAACAATATTTGTAACAAGAAGACAGTTGGTTTAGTTTATATTCTTAGGCCGGATGTAGAAAAATATGAAAATATTTTGCAACCCCAAGAATTTCTGTGAACATCATTGTTCACAGATCAGGTTTACGTAACCTTTCAAATTCACCTTCATTGTCTTTTTTACTGGCTATATTTTTTTACCAGTTATACTTTATTTGTTGGGAAAGATTTCATGATTTACACTAATTTGTAAATATTAAAATTTGCAGCTTACAAAAGTTTAACCATGTATTTGTTTCACCCTGGCAATAGGCCAATATCCGGATGGCATCATTTTACCACAGCTACCAAAATTCACTATTTTTGCTTTTTCGTTGCAATTTTAGGGAGGTTTAGAGAGGACTAAGTCATAATTAAACAAAAAAGCAACTGACTGAAAGAGTCTGGAACTTATGATCAAAAGGCATGCCTTTCCTCAGCATAACCACCCAACAAACCTTAATTACAAGCCTTCCTATCTGGACCTTTTAAACTCAACCTTGTCCCCAGGGTGTCTCCTCTTCACCAGTAAGAAAGAGAGACCTGTTAAATGAGGTTAGTAAGACCTGATAGAAAGTTCGGCTCTTCCTAGGTGGGCACACAGACCTCTTTCAAATGGTGTATATGAGTGGAGACAGATTTTCCTCTGCTCCAAATTTTAAACTGTCTGCTACCCTCAATCCCATATTGGGACCTCTTTATTGAGTACCTAGAATAAGAAGAGATTGGGCATGCATCAGACTTACCTATGGCGCCATGTTTTCATACTGCAGTTAGTTCCTTATTTGGAAATTTGGCCGTCAATTTTGTTTCAGTGCTTTCAAGTAAGATAGGTACACAATTCTTTAGGGAAATGGCAAAAATTATGTGTGGACAGATATGTGCACTTGAGAAATGGGTACTTTCTACCCAGAGTTACTGACAAGGCAGGCCCCTTCTGTGTTGCCATGGAAATTTTAAAATCAATACTCTTGAAAATAAATCATGTTTAGCTTATTTTATGGGACATAATTTCAAGGCTGATTATACATTTTTAAGTCACCCAACACAACTGGGTTAACATTACTTTCCAGACATAGGCAACAGCTATTATCTACATTCTGGGACCTTTCTCAACCATCATGTCAAAAGTCTGCTACTGATAACTGTACAAGCCCAAAACTTAAGCTGTCCCATGTAGGCACCACTTTTTAGGGAACCACTGGTGGACTGGGGTGAGGAGACAGGTGATATTTTAAACTTAGAGGCACAGATTTCTTCTCATTTGGGTGACTGTTTTGTTATCTGGATGATCAGCAAACAGTGGTGCTTGCACTTACTATCCCATAATCCACTTTCAGTACAGTGCTATCAAGAAAGTGGAGCAAAGCAGCATACCATTGTCTCATCAGAGTCAGTATTCATTGTCAGTCAATATCTATAGCCAATTCAGTGCTTCATAAAAAAAAACAAAAAAAAACTTCACAACATTGAGGATACCACTCCTTTACATAGGCTTTCAGTTAAGTGGTTACCATGATATAACACAGAGAATCCTCTGTTTATTATGTAATTAATTATTTCCTATTTCTTTCCCAAAGTGTTGTATAAGATACTGGCACATTAGCAAAACAGTCTGCTGGTGCCACAGAGCCACCGTAAATATCAACATCATTATTGGCATATCCTGCCATGAGAAAAATAAGTCACAAAAAATATTCTAGGCTCTAATGAGGATCACAAAAAGCATTGTTTATGAAGCTAGAGGCAAGAAAATCATAGTCCTGCCATTATTCGCTGTGCTTGCTTCAGTTCACCAAGTAATACACTAAATTTCTGTGACGTCATGGAGAATGACACAGTTTGTACACTGTGGCTGTTGTTATCTACTTCATTAAACCTGAGCTGGACCTCTGGCTCAGCCATCTCATTTAATTCACTGCAGCCTAAGACAAAGTCCACCCTCCACTCCAACCCAGTCAGTTGGTTCAGCTTTATACTGCTTCGCTGAAAAGAACTTTGCAAGTTGGTTAAATTTTCTCCATAAGTTTTACACAGTGCGGAAGAAAGTTCTTTAGGCAAGCCAAGCTGTTGAAGTTCGTTAGATAATGATTCGCTATCCACGTTGTACTTTGCAGCACTTGAGAGGATAAACGAAAGAGCTGCAATTGAAGCTTTCACATCTGAAAGTTCATACTTGGCATCCGACGTCAACTTCTCAACTTTAGCGTAGTCGATCTCTTCACCCAGCAAATCTTTAATCACCTGAGCACAAAGGAGCCTCATCTTTACAGAAGTTATTTTTGAAAGAGTACTTATCTCTGCAAGTACCCAATCCGGACAGTCCAACTCTCCGCAGAAGCGAAACCTCATATTCTTTCCTAGCTCTACAGCCGCCTTCGTGTGGCTTCCTCCCTCAACCGCTGCAGTCTAATCTCACGTGACCAATAAGCCAAATTTGGAAGAAGAGTGTTTGCCATGGAGCGTCAACCGACGCTTCCATTGTAGACAACGGAAGAGCGACGCGATGTTCACAGAAAATTTACTGGCGACAGTTCTATCCGTATTTATCGCTATTTTAGCTGTGGTAATTATAATATCCTTTGGTAAGTTTGATAACGTTATGATCTGAGCGCGGAGAAGCCTGGTTCGGTGTCTTACTGCATCTAGCTTGAACATTAATATTTGGAAACCACTTTAATTTTGAATCAATGCATCGTGTCTTAGTAATCCTTCGATTTCCCGGAAATTATAGTAATATTAAAAGTCACATTTAGGCTTCATGTTTCCAGTTACGAACAAAGTCAAACGAGGTAAAATTTTTTCACCTGATTTGCAGACAGCTGGGCACTAAATGTTTATGTTATCAAATCAGGGGTTTTCAAAGGAGTACTGATTGTATTTCTCCCCTTTTATCTGAAAAATTCCATTTCACATCACTCGTACTACGATCTCATTGAGCTAAACCTCCCGGTTTAGCTCAATTTGTTATAGCGCTGGACTGTTGCGCGGGAGGTCAAGGTTGATGGTTCGAGCCCCGGCCGGACCAACACTCAAGGTCTTAAAATAACTGAGGAGAATGCGCTACCTTTCTATAATATCAAGAAATGGATAGACAGTCTAGTCTTCTCGGATAAGGACGAATAAACCGTAGGTTCCGTCTCCTGCATCTATTAATTAGTTAATTTGGTTAGGCAGGGGACGTT